GCCGCCGCACTCAGCAAAGCCTTCAAGGTCAAGCCTTTCCTGGTGCGAGACGCCGCGGTGTTTCCCATTCAGGTGAGCAGGTGGGCCGTGGGCCGGACGCCGGCCGAGTCACAGGGAGACCTATCCTGCCGCTTGTTTGACTGGGCTTTTCCACTCGCTTCAGGTGGAGTTCACACGGGAGACGGAGGAGGAAGGAGTGAAGACGTTGAAACACAACAAGCGGGTTCTGTTTCAGAGAATGGCTCCGTACCCCCAGCGCAAGGTCATCACGTTCAACCGCTACACAGATGACTTTGTCTTTTACGTCAACTATGGGGACCTTGGATTCCTTAGTGCAGATGACCTCAGGTAACTGCTTGAATAGGCAGAGGTGAATGTACGTACACCTCTGTTTAGATGAGGCTTCTACCTGTATTCCTGGGAGCTGGGAGGGAGCAAAAATGTGGACTGTCTGTTGGTGCCGGAGGACCGGGTTGGGAAACGCTTGTCTATTGGCCCAACAGCTTTAGAAGTGAATAGCCATTTTTGTTGTAAGTTGACATGATTCCTCCTCCTCAGGGTGTTTGGGTCCCCCAACTTGACCACAGTCAAGTTGGCAGGGGTGGGCAGCAGCTTTAAGAAGCACTTGGATGCAGAGTCGAAGGGCATCAAGGCTCATTTTAACATGGACGAAAGCGGTGTGCTCATCCTGGACCGGGTTAGTTAGGAATTTGGAGTTTTGTTTTTCTAAAATCCTAAAGCCAATAATAAAATTAAGATTAAATATTTATTTCTATTTTTTCCTCCAGGTGGAATCTGTTTTTGAGACCATAGTGGAAGAGAAAGAAGAAGAATCAACTTTGACAAGTACGTACTTGCAGAAATTTCGGTATTTCATGCTTCTGACAAATCAAATGTTTACATTTTTTTCCTTAAGATGAATTCATTGCATTATGATTCCTCTTTTAAGAACTTGGAAACACAATATCAAGTCTTTTTGGAGGAGGGAGTTCAGAACCAACCGTGAACCTCACAGAGCCTGTTCAGGTAGACTTCTATCCCCTTTTTGGAGGACTTTGCTCAGGCCTCAAGCTATTTTCTGCACCTAAACCCTTAAAATGTTAAACCAGGATGAGGAGGAGCTAACACCTGAGGCTGGGAAAGAGGAGGAAGATAAGGCCAAGAAGGATGAAGACCCGCAGGATGCTAATCAGGAAGCTGAGGAGCACACAGATGCCCAGCCAGAGAAGGTGGCAGAGGCTGAGATGGTGGATGGCAGCTCCGATTCCCAGGTAGAAATCAAGACCCTCTTCTATTCCTCCCTGCTCTGCTTTCCCATGCTATGTTTCCATGGAAACTTGTATGTAAATGGCTTTGGTCATTTTGCATATGCAATTTGTGTCCCATTTCCCATGTTCCTCTCTGTCCATATGATTTCAATTAGTGTAAAACCGCTTTGACAATCAGTTTTTTAGGAATAAGGAATTACGCATTCTCCAATGGATCAAGTTCTGGGTGGATGTTTTCCAAGTTACAACTTTTATCCAGTGAGTTAATGTTAACTGGGTGGGGTTTAGCTTGTATCATCAGCTTGAGTATGGGTTGGTTCCTGTATGCCTGTGGAAAAGCACCACTGAACAGCACCCAGGCCTACTTAGATGCTCTTGTACTTTGCACTGTTCATGTTGTGCTTACTCTTTCTCCCTTATTGACATTTTACAATATACAACGGAGTTGATGATTAATTGACTTAATTTGTTTTTGCTGTCATGTTATGGTGTTGGGTTTGTATAAAATTCTTCGGGACACTCTTGATAATGACATTTAATTTTTCCACAGAGTGAAAAGGAAGCAACTGAAAGTGAAGGAAAAACTGAAGAAAAGAAGCCAACTGATGAAGAAGTGAAGACTGAGGACAAAGATAAGAAGGTGAAATCGCAGAAGAAAGTAAAGATCTCTGAAGAAATTGACGTAGAGCTACAAATAAATGATGTTCTCAACCCAAGTCCAGATGAGATTGATTCTTCTAAGAAGAAGTAAGTTTTCTCACTTTGACGAAAGGGATGGGTGGGGGGTCATGTGGCATTTGAATTTAAACTCTATACATTTCCTTTCAGATTGCAAGACCTAACTGATCGAGATCTGGAGAAGCACGAGAGGGAAAAGGCCTTGAACAGCCTTGAGGCGTTCATCTTTGAAACCCAGGTATGGATCTTTTTTTTTTTTTTTTTTTAGATGGTTCCCAATGCATTTCTATCTAGTTCTAGAATCAGAATTCTATCAAGGGTGGTGATAGATCAGAAACATTGTTTGCACGTTGGAGGAGGGGCGACTGAAATACTGGGCCAGCAGTTTTAATTGTCCTCGTCACCTCATGCCACCAGGATAAGATGTATCAGGATGAGTACCAGGCGGTGCTTTCTGAGGAAGAGAGAGAGCAGATTTCCGGCAAGCTGAGCGAGGCCTCTACCTGGATGGACGAGGAGGGGTATACGGCAGCTACCAAGGAGCTGAAGGAGAAGCTGTCAGACCTGAAGAAGCTGTGCAAGTCCATGTTCTTCAAAGTGGAAGAGCGTAGAAAGTGGCCTGACCGATTGGCAGCGCTTGACAGCATGCTGAATCATTCTAGCTTTTTTCTTAAGTGAGTTTTAGATGATAATACTTATTCATTTACCCATCCATCCTCTGTTTATTCTGGTCCTGGTTATAAGATATATTCATCCAGTAATTTATTTTACCTTTTTACAATGCTTTATTGGTTTTTGTTATGAACAAAATGTTGCTTTAATATTTTGATATAGGAGTGCCAGACTCATTCCGGAGGATGACCAAATCTTTACAGAAGTTGAGCTGAAGACACTGGAGAAGATCATCAATGAGACGACTGTATGTAAAAACCCCCTTTTAAGTATCACCCAGAAGTGTATCTATCATTTGGCGACGTAGCTTTACGCTGCCGTGTCCTTCACAGACTTGGAAGAACGAGACTTTGGCAGAACAGGAGAAGCGCTCGCCGACTGAGAAGCCAGTTTTGCTGTCCAAAGACATTGAGGCCAAGCTCGCTCTTCTCGACCGCGAGGTCAATTACCTGCTGAACAAGGCTAAGTTTGCCAAGCCCAAGCCCAAGGTCAAACCCAAGGAGAAGAACAGCACCAGTACGGAAAACGGCAAATCCAACAGCACGGAGGCTGACTCTGAGAAAGTCATCCCACCTGTGGACGAGCCCAACACTGAGAAAGTGACAGGTATCATAAATGTCAAACCAGTTGGGTGTGTTGCCTTGTGATTGCCAGTATACTTTGTTCAATGCTGGATCAGTAAATGTACAGTACTGCACAAAAGTCTGAGGTAGTCAAGGAACATGTTTAAAGATTTTTATCTAGGTTGTAAGTGTGTGTTTTTTCTTCAATGAAAATATAATGTAACATCAGATCATATGCAAATTAACAGTAACAATTTAATAAAAACTTCTTCCGTACTCCAAAAAGTAACTGGTATCCTGTTGATGGTTATAACACCACTACTTTTAGTTCTCAAACCTCTCCTCCCTCCCCCCTCTCTCTCTCTATCCATCCATCTATCCATGTATGTAATTCCTCTTTTTTTATGCCACATCAGAAACCCCTGATGAGGTGAAACCAGGCGGCGAGCCGCCCGTAGATAACGGTGCTGAAGATGGGGCTGAAACGGAAACCCGTCAGAATCCCACAAAAGGAGCAGTGAATACAGGTATGCTTGATGCATGTGAGTGTCCTCTGGTTTAGAAGCTGCTCCAGTGTCCTGCTAATATGGTAGCTCATCGACTCGTCAACTTCTGTCTAGTCCTGTTTTGCAGTCTCTTTTATATTGGTTTTATCTGTATCATGATTGGTTCGTGTCTTCTTGCAGGACCCACGGAGAGCAAATCGGAAAACCATATAGAAGATGAATTATAACGACTGGAACATAAACAGATATTTTGATGTATTTATTAATTTTTTTTTTCGTCTCCCCAAACTTAAATCAAAAATGTTTAATTGGATCAGCTTGGAGAAACCTTGGTGTACATTTTTAGAACGTTTTGGGGCTTCTTCTTGAGTTCTGTCATCTTCTAGCCTCCTGACCTTCTCCCCTACAGCCAGCTAGAGCACACATGATCCTGTGAGAATTGCAGAAACAACTTGATGCCATTTTGCCTAGTTTATTCCGTTCTGGTGTCATGAAATTTCATTTTCATGTCACCACTTCCATTGTCAGTCTTTCTGCAAAATAAGAGCTATTCCATACCATTTCATGAAATGCATATTTGTGCACAGGTGATGCCCCCCCCCCCCCACCACCTCTCTGTTCAGAGAGGTCATTGTCATGGTTACCAAAACCCTGTTAGTGTTGATTGACCTCTGGGGATCTTGTCATTATGTCTCTCTGTTGCATTTCAGCTTCAAGATTTCTCCACCTTAAAATCATGTCTAGTACCTCATGGGACAAATGTTTATCTAATTGGAATCATAGGGATTATACGGCATGGAGGATCTGCGGAGTTAAGCCAACAGAAGAGACTGGATTATTTGTATTGTGTGGGATTTATCTAGGATGCTGCTGAATTTGTTAGTTGTGTGCTGTTTGGTACAGAAACCCGTATAGCACTTATGGTTTGATTAAGCAAAGCCCTTAATGTTTGTCACAGTGGTTAGTTTCTGATAACTTTCATAGAGCAGGAGTGCATTCTGACAAGGAATAAATGCCAACAGTCTGTGAAGTACCATATATTCTGTAAAATAACATACATTTTTCCATTATAACTATTTGTAATGGCTGTCAGAAACCCCCCCACCCCCCTCTTCTTACAGTACTTAAAACATTTTTTCCTTCAGTTAAATGGCCTGAGCATTTAAGTAAATTTGGAAAATGCTGGAATGTGTGTATTGAATTGACATTCCTGTAATGGATGTAAACACCCCCCCCCCCCCAACCTTCGCATAGGTTCCTTTTCCGCTTTTCTGCCCAGAAAATGTTCACGGGCGTCAGACAGGTGGTTATGTAGCTCTGTCACTTTTTTTATTTTTTAGTGCTGTTTTTCGGGTTGTCTGTGGTATGCCGTATAACTCCTGAATCTGACTGCACTGGCTTCCGACCATACGGACAGGTCCTCTCGCTACCACGTGCTGCTGGGGGGGGGGCGGGGGAAATAGTCTTTTCAAAAAGCTTGCTGCTGGTTTCTGTCCTGTGTTTTTGTTTCTAAAGTGTTAATAAATTTTTTTTTTTTTTAGGTCTGTCTTTTTTTTAGTTGTTTCATAACGACTACAGCCATGTACCACACAGTCACCCATCTGCCATAGATGGCTGATTGGATTTGTGTCCCACCCACCACTGAATGCCATGACCCCATATTAACATGGCATGACCAGAGGAACAGGGAAATTTGCACTGAATGTCACCAGTCATTCAAAGGCATGTTTTGTAAGTCATTCGTTGTACTGTAAGTCCAGGAGGGATGTGTAAGTTTTATTACAAGTAGTAATTGGGCTGATTTTAGGTGGTACAAGTCAGCTGTCAGGACAGAAGAGTGTGTGTGTGTGTGTGTGTGTATATGAGTGTGCGTGTGTGCATTTTGGGTAATTATTAGGTTGTGCAGACAGGATTCCCACACAATTTGATTAAAGATCTGTACCTTTTTTCTTGGGGGACATTTTTCCAGTTCCCACAAGTTTGACCTTAATTTTATAAAGATCTGTGACGGAAATCAAAAAACTACAAATGCTTTAAGTCATATTTTGTTTGGTTACTTATGGGTAAGGTTAGGGCTGGGTAGGGGTGAGAGTCACCATACTTAGGATTAGGGGTTAAGCCAATAGAAGTGGTCCCCACAATGGATGGTCCCCACAAAAGAGAGAAATGCAAACCTGTTTGTCTTCCACTTACCATGGCCCAGTCTGCTCAAAATCATACATTTGGAAAAATTGACAAGGAATAAAATTTCCAAAAACGATTTTCCACTCACACTTTATATTAAAATTAAAATTTTATTTAGTTAGCATGCCTGCATCCATGTAGATATTTTAAACACCATTTTTAATGATGGAAATATTCAGGGAAGCAATGCTGTCTGAATAAAGCCCTGAAAACAGTCCCAGTAAGACCCCCAATCAGAAACACGTTGCTGTCTAAAACACTTATTGCCAGAAATCCTATTTTGGTTATTAACAGGATTGGTCCATATAATTTCCTGTACTTTTAAAGCTTTTTTTTATGGTTTTCAACATGATGACCTATAGATTTCCATTATAAAGTATACTAAGTATATGTAGATAGTTCTTTCGATAATGCCACCAGACAATGAATGCTTTTAAACAGGAAAAAAAATAAAAATAAATGATCCCCGTCATGCAGTGGTATATAGTGCATGTTGTATTTCTCCGTAAATAGGAGAGGGGCACGTTTCGTTTCACCGGCCCTGCCCCTACTCGCTGCCCTTTGCGCCCTCCCACAGCGCCTTCTCTTTACTCTGACGCTTCGAAGAGTGGATCCGCAGCACCGTGAACGCCACCATCGCGATGCAGAGCACGCCCACCACGCCCGCCGCCACGGCCGCGCTGAACACTGGGCTGTCCCGGTACGATTCCTCTGCGACTGCGGAGAGGTGGACATGTAGATAAGCACTGGGACGTTGTTTTAAATTGTATTCTATGTTGTTTTATATTATATGTTTTATATTATATTCATAATAAGGAGATCGTTTACTGTGGCTCAGCGATCGGCTGCTAGAAGTTGTAATGTGTGGCGATCCAACACATAGATTGGTGACATCATTTTATATGGACCATTTTATGTTTCTTGGTCTTTAAGGATCATAAGAATATTGCTGATGCTATTTCCTCCTTGAGGAGAAATAAAGCTTACCTTGAGTATCTTGACCTGGAGGTCCACCTACGTGACATAAAGGCAGGATATTAAACTTCTAGCTAGCAATTTTGTCATATTTAAATGTTAATATCTGAGCAAATAAACCCCTGGCAACAAATCAAGATTTTGTTTCAACCAACTAGTTGAGTACTGCCACCGTAACTCTTTATTCTCAACTGGTTGATTGAAACATAATCTTGGTCTGGGGTTTTACTTTCTGGACCTGAACTATCCACCTCTTCCTACCAAGGACAGAGTTTTCAGAAATACTTTTGGTCTATGTTTAATGCATTTAATAGTAATATATTTGTAAAAAAAAAAAGTATCTCGAAGTGTCGGTGTCTTACCACTGTCCACTCTGGTGATGATCGGACCAGAGGTAACTGTGGCTACTTCGCTTACGGTGGTACTTTGAGCCTGAGACTGCAGATCTCGCTTTGCCCTAGCATTGGCTGAACAATTCTACGGAAGAACAAGGATAAAGCTCATGACCACCACCTTGTGGCAATGCATCACAATAGCAGTAGTATTCACTGCGGAGAATACTTCAGATTATTCTAGTGCAGGAAAATCCAAGATATTGTTGTGCAGCTTTCATTTTATACGCTATGTTAACAAATAATTAACATGTCTGTGAATTCAATTTTGTGTTCAGATACTTCAGTGAAAAGCAGTGGGGCATCCATAATACCAAAGTAAGCACTGAGCAATTAAATCAATTTGATTAGAGAACACAAATCATTTAATGAACTTCGGATGTATTGAAAATAACAACGGACTGCAAAGCGTGAAGTGGTTTGCTCAAAATGTGTCAGATTCCTGCCAATTCTTGCGCACTGGAATCCTAATTTTCCTTTTTCGCAACAGAACAACATATTGAAAGGCGGTTTTAAATATAATTCCTACGATTAATATACTGTATTAATGTTAAGCATGGCCAAATAAAGTACTTAGTGACGTAAAAGAAAGGAATGTAGCGGAAACATTCTGGAGCTCTTGTATTTGAGAATGAAATAAGAAATTAACATGTGTGATCCCCACGCAGAATAAATGAAATGCAATGAATGTTTGATGAAATAACATTTTAAAAACATTGATATAGTAGCTGGGTTGCAGTAGTCCTCCCTATACTTTACTATTCTGGAGACCTTCGTATAGGCAGTGTAGTTACCGGCAGGACAGAGCTGCAGACAGACGTCTCGCAGAGCCTGGTAGCACAGTGCAGGTAGAAGATGGAGACGGTCATGTTTTTGTGCTCCACAAAGCGGAAAGCTTCAAACGAGAAGCGAGCCGTCTGGGTTTGGCCATTAGACGTGATCACGGTCTGGCCGTCACGGTTGCATCTAGGTTGAAAGACATAAAGACGAGCATTTATTTATTTATTTATTTATTTATTTACGTCTGGGGAAAATGCATCAGCTGCCCGGTGATCTATTGACCAATGCTACCTATGAAGACGTGCTACCGAGCCTTTCTGTGCATGTGCAGTTCCACCGTCTTGGGATTATGGTTAGGTTTTAGGGTTAGGGTCATCGATTAGCGCTACGAGAGCCTAGCTCGACAAAGTAGCTCAACTCGGCATTTGACGATTGCACTCGCCGACATGTAATCGGTGTGCAAAACTGGCGTGGATTAAATAACTTACCCAACAAAGAGGTCATAGTAAGAGCTGTTAATGGGAAAAGGGCTGGTTGTGGCGTAGCATCGGTCCAGGAGGACATTGAACCTTTAGCGACGTCGGGCGCGCATTAAAAAGAAAGGATAGGGGGGAAAAAAAAGATGTCAAATTCTACCAATTCGAAATCATCTCAAATATTTTCTCAGTAATATTGTCGATCGTTGGCTTTGGAGATTACGCTTTTTTATTTTCTCAGTTTGTAACTGTTAGATAAATAAAATTGTTAGTTAAATTAAAATTAATAGGCTATATCACAGCAAATTATTTTTTAGCTGCCAATAAAACGTTTCCACACGTCGTTCAGGAAGGTGTTTAGGAGTATTAAAAATATCATTGCTCGTAACTAAAGGTTAGTGAAATTTACCAAAAATCAAACTGTAGGCATATATAACTGTCACCAAAAACTGTTTCAGGTCAATCAGATTATTTAGATGCAAATAGTTATACAGTATACTAGTTAATACTCATCAACTGTTCTATAAATCCATAAATTAAAATTAATATCCATGCATTTCCAACTGCAAAACCTTTTTGACAAAAAAAAAAAAAAACAGGCACATGACTTCGAGAATTAAAAGTAATATCCAGCTCCCCCAGTTACCTTTCGGTGAGATTCGTGGCCTTGACTTCCACAAAGATTCTCTTTTTCAGTTTAAGGCCGCTTTCCGGTATTTTGAGGTGCGTAGTGTAAGACGAATCCTTAGAGTCAAAATAACGCAGTAATAGCTCATGAATTTAAACGACAGATGTCCTATGTACTTTAAACGAAATCCGTTTCAATTCTACCTGTTGAAATGGTAGAGATTTCCCTTAACTTATTCAGGCGGTATGTATGTCCAAAGCTATAATTTCATTGTGTTTTATGAGCAAAATATAAAAATACTCAAACCGAAGATACATTTCACAAAATGTTCTACATATGCGGCAGAAAATATATTATGATATAACACAGAATGTCAGTATTAACTCCCACACGAACAAGAAAAACCGTTTATTGAACTGAAATGCCGTAAAGCAAATATACGCACCTCATACAGCTGCATGCTAAGTGTGCTAATGAAACTCCCGTTATTGTCCCTTACAGCTAGGCTCACCCCAGATCTGTTGGAAAGCACAGCAGTATTTAGAGTTCGTTACTCAATCAGGGGGAGAAATTAGACTGTAGTAAAACTATGTCGACCAGGCAAAGTGTATTAATGCATTTTTGCGGTTTATATGAAATATAGGTGATTCATACGAATCACAATGCAATATCCCTTATAACTGTCACATTGAAAGTAACAATTTTGATCAAGACTTCTGAGCTACAATAATATAGTGACTACAAGTAAGTAAGTACCAAAGCACTTACACGGTTATCTCAGTGTTGTTGATCAGGTATTGCAGTGGATATCGACAGGAGAAAATGTACATCATCTCTTGTCGGTAGGTTATGGTGCCAGCACTCGGGTCCAGGGAGTTTATGATTCCTGAGACGTTGACAAACTGGACGCTGGAATAATCGGAGAAGAGTCCCGAACCGACTTCTTGACTGATCTGTATACGAAAAAATAGCAAATCATTAAGCCTATATTTATTGTTACTGACAAAGATTACACAACATATTCTTTTATAAAAGGGTTTACAATGCCTTTCAAAATTCTAATTTTGTATTTTTATAAAATCCATCGGCTTATCCATTTAATGGTTGTGTACAGCACAGGGCACGTCGCTGGCTTAATACCTGGGTGGGATGCCAGTCCATCTAAGGGCTATTTATATATTCATACTTTTTGATTAAATAATCTTGAGTAACATTTGCCAAAGTTTTAGGCAGTACACTCAAATAGCTGAGATACCTTGAGCTTATTCGAACAGGTGGAAATGGCTTCTTCGGTTATGGAGAAATTGAATTTTAAGACAGGCGGATCCGCTGACCAATCAGGTATCCCGTAGCACTCTGGTCTGTAATATTGCGCATTGAGGGACATCAATGACTCGTTGTATCCACCATAGTAGATGGGGCACAACAGGATGGTCAGCTCCATTGTCCTTGTCCCACATATCACTGAGATGTCAGAGTTGGCTGGAACACACAAGGATCCCGTAACAAGAGGATTTATATAAACAATCATGGAGTGAGAAAGTATCAGACACGGCCGCACCCCTGAATAGATAGTATGAACATAATGCCCAACAATAGGTCTTTGGCGGAGTGGGTTCTCCTCCGATTTCTTGGAGGTTCTCCAGTAGTTGAATCGGTTCCAGGTGTATAACATGAGAGGTCAATAAGTGGAGTGACTCACAGTGATGCAGCAGAGAAGACTGGGGCCGAGCATAGACTGACCTGGCTCCCTGAATGTTGAGTGTGAAAAGCAAGGATTCTGAGCCTCACTGAAGAGGACCAGGCCAAACTGGCAAACCAGCAAGGACAGCCACATTGTCCTCGAACTGGAAGAGGGAACACAAGTATTTATCAGGAAGTATACAATATGACTCAATTTCAGAAATCTCCCGATAAAAGCCAAGACTGAGGAAGCAATGGTGAATTGCTATAAATAAAGATAAAAGATTATACTTCCTCTAAAACACGTAACATTTTCAAAGTAGAAATATACTTATCAAAAATCGATCACATTATTAATAATTTGCCAGTGAAAAAAAGCTGTTTAAGCCCTAGAGCAGAAAAAAATTGGTTAATATCTCCAGAGAAGAAAACTGCCTTAATTAACATATAATAAAAATAATTTTATTGATGCATAAATACGCAGATTCCAAAAACAAATTAGTCTTAACTGCAGATGATGGCTAGAAAATAAATAAAAATAAAACAAGGAGGCCTACCCCACTCCCTGAAATGTTGCTGAGCATACATATTGCGGTTACATTTAAGAAAAAGAATTTAAAAATATAGGTTGGTTCGTTTTATGTCTATAGAAGAAGACGAAGGCATTACCTTGTGTGGGTAGTGATTCTCTGCCCTCCACTTTCTCTCTCTCCCTTTTTCTCCCCGTCAGCCCCTGGTATTTATACTGGCCTCTTTTCCAGCTCAGGGGTGTGAAAATGGGCATGCAACACAAAACAGGAGGTTATGAGAAAAATTCAGAAGTCAAAAGAGCAGCCTGGGTGAATGTAAACTCCAGCCGCAATGTGACAGGGCTGGGTTTTACACGAAATACGCAATTAAGTATATAATATAAAAAAATATATACTAAATATGTGTATATATATTAGCATTAAAGGTGAATTATACATTTAAATATATTCAGTTGAGACAACAAACAGGAAAATATAATAAAAACTATATAGGCGTATATGTCTGTATGTCATTTGATTTTCTTTATATGTGTTTTCATATTTATCTGTCCTGTTTTGCGTGTGTATCTATGGACCTGAGTCTGTTAAAAAATTGATTTATTGATGGATGCGTGTGTGTGTGATATATATATATATATATATATATATATATATATATATATATATATATATATATATATTTACTGTAACAGCTTATCATATTCGAAATCGCAGGGGGTGGGGAACAACCAAGGATGGGATGCCAACCCATCACAGGGCACAATCACTCACCATTCACTCACACACGCACACCTATAGGCAATTTAGTAACTCCAATTAGCCTCAGCATGTTTTTGGACTGTGGAGATAAACTGGAGCAACGTAAAATTATATTTGTATAATTTTACATTTTACAAATACATATATAACACACACACGTACAAATATATATACGCACATGACGTCATCATGCATAAGAAAATTAAATTGAAAATTTTAAGAAAAAAAACTTGAAATTATATTTTTTTTATTTGGCACATAGTTTTATCTATAGCAATGTACAACTGAGAAAAGACCAAGATCAGTCAGTCCCAGGCAAATGGGGGTTAAGGGCCTTCTCAAGGGGCTGACGGTGAAATTGCTCCGCTGACCCTGCGATTTGAAACGCCGACCTTCTGGTCATAAGAAACTAAGGGACATCTCCACTCATCCACACATGGCTCTTTCATCTTAAAAACAAATATAAATCAATTAAGAGGTGTAATGCACCTGAATTTCGAAATGACTGGAGCATATGGACCGGCATTCAATCAATCAATTAATGATCATCTATAACAATAATAACAGTGATGATGATTGTTGTTAATACCATGGGTCATTAATCTGTGGGTGAACTGGTCCACCTGGCCAGCATACATGTGTTACTGCTTTAAAAACTGTAGCTAAAGAGTATGTGTCAGTCATATTTAAAAAAAAGCAAACTAACCTAAGGTGCATGGCTATACGTACGTATTGTATTACAAATGAATACAGCTTTATTGATTCCAACTCTAACAGCAACAAAACCATAAAGAATCTCTCTGATATATAACCAGTTTGATAAATGTATCATGTTTAGATGGACCCCAACTTCTTTGTATAAAAATCAGGTCTCCCTTCAGTTATCCTTTTGTCTGAGTAGGTGCTTCTTGTTTCCTCAAACAAAACCCTGGTCCTTTGAATGTCACCATAACAAATGACTTGGATTGGTTTTCTTGCAAACCCAGAAGACGGAAACCAGCGATGGCTTGCATGTGATCTTTTTGAACATGCCAGCATATGAGGAATTTAATATTTATAATCCAGAGAGATTTCCTAAGAGCAGATTAGTTCACCATACCACGATACTTTGCTAAGGATAGCCTGACAAACAAAGCACTTTGTGTTTGAGGCAGGTACACTATGTTTAATCTCAGCTATGAAACAAAAATCACGGTAAAACCGTAAACGTGTTTATATTGTTTCATTTGCCGGCGGATGACATACAATAAGGATCAAGTATATGCAGCCTTTAACGTGATCTTTTAACAGTCTTATTTATGTGGGAATTCTTTACATTCGCTTTCTTTTTGCCTCCACATATACTGCAGTATGGCATAGGCGTGTATCGCCTGGATAAACATAACCAGAGGACAAACAGATTTGCTAGAAATAACTAAGCGCTCCAAAAATACGAGATCCTAAAATACCATTTACCATGTTTTTTTTTTTTATGATGTTACCGAACTTCGCACACTAAATACGCAAAAAATATTACAAAGAACAATTTAAACAGCCATTTTGATTCCGAAAATTAAAACGTTTATTTTTAACATCACCTTAGCGAAGATAAAAACATATTTAACAGTTTATTCACAAAGTATAGGATACCATATAAACAGCGCGATAGACAAATCAGGCTGCAAACGTATAACGCATCCTAATAATGCGTTACAGTACAGTACTAACCCCACTTGAAAACGACTCCCCTTAAAAGGTAAGGTACGGCATGAAAGTGAAATCGCAGTCAAGCATTAATTAGTTGGATTTCCATTAGGTATGAAGATAACCCTTAGGTTCAGTTCGTAATGGCAAGCATACAGGTGCATGCAAGAATGCAAACACAGGCGTAATAAGAATGTTACGTCAATTCAGAATTGGACACAGAACGATTTAACTGAACGATTGTCAATGTACAGTTAGTCAAACAAGCAAATGTGAGCTGCAGTATGCCACTTAAGATCTGAATTACGACGCTTCCGTAAAATGAATTTCCTGTTTGAGACTGGATTTTCCTTAAATACAGTACATGACATGGCGTTTAATTGCCGCCTTTTCCATCGTGAAGTCACAGATGAACTTCTCGAGTTTAGCCATCTGACGGATGGTTCACTTGGAGCTGGTGTACTTGGTTACGGCCTTGGTACCCTCAGACACTGCATGCTTGGCCAGTTCTCCCGGCAGCAGCAGGCGAACGGCAGTCTGGATCTCTCGGGATGTGATGGTGGACCGCTTGTTGTAATGGGCTAAGCGCGAAGCCTCGCCTGCGATACGCTCGAAAATGTCATTGACAAACGAGTTCATGATGCCCATTGCCTTGGAGGAGATGCCGGTATCAGGGTGGACCTGCTTCAGTACTTTATATACATAGATGGCATAGCTCTCTTTCCTCGTTTTGCGTCGTTTTTTGTCACCTTTCTTCTGCGTTTTCGTCACAGCTTTTTTGGATCCCTTTTTCGGCGCAGGAGCGGATTTTGCTGGCTCTGGCATTCTGTCGTTTTAATATTCTTCGCAAATTGATTGACAGTGAACTAAACACGAAAACTCAGCATAAGGAATATGGTAACCCCGCCCTTCTTTCCTTTATTTATAGCGTCGCCATGCTAATTAATGCACAGACCAAGTATTTTGTGATTGGTCATCCTAACATTGTCTGTCACCCAGAAGGTAAGCACTATTGGTTAACTAGAGGTTATTTCTTTTATCCAATCAGTATGACCTGTCGAGTATAAAATGTCATTCCCTCCATAGAAAAAATACAAAAGAGTGTCGCTGTTATATTATAGTAAGCCTCAGAATCATTGCAAACCCTTGTGCATAATTCCGAAAATATAATGTCCGGTAGAGGTAAAACCGGAGGGAAAGCCCGTGCAAAGGCAAAATCCCGTTCATCTCGAGCAGGTCTTCAATTTCCCGTAGGCCGTGTACACAGACTGTTGCGAAAAGGCAACTATGCGGAGCGAGTCGGCGCGGGTGCTCCTGTCTATTTGGCCGCTGTGCTGGAATATCTGACGGCAGAAATTCTGGAGTTGGCAGGCAATGCCGCCAGAGATAACAAGAAAACGAGGATCATACCCCGCCATCTGCAACTGGCAGTCCGCAATGACGAAGAGTTAAACAAGCTCTTAGGCGGCGTAACCATCGCACAAGGCGGAGTGTTGCCTAACATTCAGGCCGTGCTTCTGCCCAAGAAAACTGAGAAGCCTGCAAAGAGCAAGTAACCACAGCCAGCGCAAACCCAAAACACATCAACCCAAAGGCTCTTTTAAGAGCCGTCCATTTTTTATCTAAAGAGCTTTTTCCTCCCGATTTTACTACTGCCAAATGGTCTTGCCTGGGGTTTTGGTCGTCTCGAGATGGAAGATTTTTTTTGGCCCTTGTGTAGATTGCCCTTCAACTTCCCGAGTGGTGTTCTTGCTACATGTGAACAGTTCCTATTCTGGATAATTGTCATAACGGAATAAAAATCCGCCGCTGAGGTGACAGTGCTCGAACAACATGACTTGCAAAGCTGTCACGATATTATGTGTGCGCTTCGGACTTAAAAAGGTAATGGGACTCCAAAATGGTGGCGAATCCATGGGTGGGGTGAACGGCACCACACAATTCTTCGTTTATGGACCAATACTGAGTTTCTTTGTAATCTGTTATTGCTAACTTTTTTGTGGAAACGTGATGTCATAGCCCTGGTCAATGAATGATTGTGTAATATCAATAAGGCAGTTATCTGGTTCGTTAATAAATGTTCTGTGGCTAAATACGGCACGTAATGGAAAGCTTTTTATTTTGTACGTTTTCTTTCATGAAATGGTTTACATCTCGAAATTGCACAAGGCATAGGTACGCATGCGCCTGCGGTGCGCACACCACCATGTTTGGGTCGGATGAGATCACCGCCACACAAATACTTTCCTCAAATAACGCGATGGTGCAGTACAGAATGGGGGTGCAGTCATTAATCCCCGATGGTCAGTTTTCTATGTCAGAAGAAGCTGGTTAGAAATTTATACCGGGCGGTTGTCACCAGCGAAATGCCGACAGTGACGAGGTGAGGCGACGAAACCAGCTGTCCGACTTCACTGGACTGCGTGAGATGCAGAGATATTTGTGTCCTCGAACAAAGCCATCCAGACTGCCAGCTCGCCATCCACCCTGTTCCGCATATCCGAACGAGGGCGGCGGCTCCAGGAAACCAGTATAATGACCGCATGCCTGTGACCGGTCAGGCGTTTCTGGAAACAAATCTGCCTCTTACCGGAAACCTAGACTATATTTTCGAAATCCATCGCTTTAACAAATTTTAATCGTGGACAGAAACTAACTGTAGAGTATACCCTAGAACATGTTTATCTGATACCACAGTTGACAGGTTTGTGTACGCTCAACATTGCCAACACGGCATGCTTGCTCTTTAGGATAAATTTAGCATCCCAAAAACATAAATTCTCTCAGATGGGTAAACAGCATAAATTTAAAAAAATCAATGGCGCTGTTTTCCAACATTACAAGATGGCTTAGATTTGTACTATATTTTCCCTTCATGGCTTTAAATGGCTGTTTTACTTCCATCCTTAAGGATGTGCAAAGGGTTCAAACTCAATTTCTAACACAGGCGTGTGTACTTAGAAATCAACACGATACTATCATTTGACCCCACACTTACCAAAAGCAGTTACATTTCACAAATGTTACATTTATACATCTGGGAGCAAAACATGTAAGAGTTGGCATATTAGAGCAGTAGTATCTGGTACTGAACCTCAAACATTTTAAATGATAAATTTACAAATCATCTAGTGCATCAAAGTAAAAATCAAAATCAAGCATCAAGCACTGACAAAAGCAAAAAATGGTTGCTACATAAATCCCTTAAATTAGTAAATGATGCTTTTTTCAAATCACCCCTTTAAATGTTATATTCTATAGATTAAAACTAGCCCTTTTATACCTGATACTTAAATTGAGGCAATTGATTTTCTTTTAATGGTAAAACAATTCCATCAGAAACAAAGTAATATTGCCCTCCCTTGCACCTGGGCATGTCAGAACATATTCACTGGTAGTTTACACAAACAATACCTTTAAGGCAGTTTACGCCACTCAATGATTAAACAAAAGGAAATTAGCACCAAATGCTCACAAATTTGGAGTTAAATGGCTTTTCACATAAAGGTGCTGACTGGTAAATTACAGCATAGTGTTCCTAGGATATTAAACAAGAAACAAAAATATGATCAACTAGCCCTCAATTACTGTTAATGGCATTCTATTTTTAATTTTTAAGCCCACTTTATCTTCATCTTAACAGAATCTTGGTGGTAAATAAAAGAACAGTCATATGATACTACAGTGGAAAAATACTTAATGCATTTATGGAAGCAAGATTCAACTGCTTTGAAGCGACTACTAATTTAGCTCATAGATGCATATTCAAGTGCTTAAGGAAATATTTGTCAAAAAAAGTATTGTAACATTAACATTACAAGAGAATTATACTCTTACACGTTTGACAGATTCATTTTTGTCAAGTCAAAGGAAACGTAACGTGTTAAAATGTGACACGCAGTGAAGTTTCACATTACGGGGTGAGCTCTCCCCACCCATTCCTTAATAATTTAGCTACGAGTCCTTGGCTTCCTCCTGGTAGCCTTCGGTTCTCATGTCGTTTAAACCCAAGTCTTCGTTTTGCTCGAAAGTTCGCTGATACTTCTCAATTGTCATCTCTGGATCTGGGTCTGGGGCATAAATATTCTGTAGGGAGGAACAGCCCGTCACATCAATGCAATTCTCTCATTAAAAATACATTTTGTAAAGTTAAAACACACACAGAATATTTAATATATTTTTACATTTAGCCCTGGACTAGGGCACTGAATTATACCTGAAGATAACTGTTGCCAGCTGGATCATCCAGAATGATATGGCCCTCCATTTCTCCAGCAATAATCTAAAATTACAAAGTGCAATGTCATTTGGTGGGAGGTATAGCTCAAACTATAAGGAACTGTACATATTCTTTTCTGCTATAAATCTGTTTTATGAAAGAACAGTACAGAGGTGCCTTACAGAATATATCAGCCGCATGTGAAATGCATACATCTGTAAACACTAAGCTTTATACCTAATTTATGTACGATAAATACCACAAACACAAAAATACAACATCAATCAAAACCAATCTAACATTTTACGTGTTATCGGTGCCTCTACTTTTATTATTCCATATAAAAAATTAAAAAATAAAAACATATAAGCAACTTGCCCTAGAATTGCCATCTGATCTCAGGAGAGAATTCAAGAGAAGTGAATCTTATCCTTTGTTCTCAACTGGCTCTGTTGCAAGCAGCTTTCCCAGCACATATAATTCAACTGGGAGCAGTGGTATTAACAAAACCTGGATGTGAATCGCCGGTCTGTCAGAACTGGTGCTGAACCATTCAGCGTGAGGGAAGCATCAATAGCAGCTGATGCTACAACAGGGAACTATGCGCTACACATGGCCATAATGCAAGGGAAGCCGTCAGTGTTACTCTACTGTAATTCCACCTTTTCGAAGTGTGACAGACTTTTATTCCCAATAGTAATAATTAAAAAAAATACAAGTATCTTACCTTGTCAATTTTCTCACCAAAAATTTCCAGTTTTTCTGTCCGTTCTGGTGTCGAACTATCCCCACAAGTGAAGGGGTTCTTTGACACAATCTGGGAAAAAAAAAAAATAATTTAAATCTCGCATGCCGTTAAGCTCATTATTTAACCAGGAAACATGTATGATCACAGATTAGTGGATAACAGTGCACGCCACTATACAGGCAAAACTATGGCAGGGGATGAAAAGCATCACTGATGGGTCTTACCAGCTCCCTGATGTCTTTAAGGAGTCCTTCTAAGGTGGTGAACTTCCCTCCGAGAGCTGCCATGCCGAGCTCGAACTCGAGTTCGGGAATGAGGATGCAGCATGTCTCTGACTGCAGCCAACACACAGACGTGAGGCCATCAGGGTAAGAAAGGTCCAAGCTGGGATCGAGGCCCAACTTAACGTGGCTTCCAACAGGCAACTTCACTCACATAAATAATTAAAGTTCACTGTGGCGATCAGTCTCGTCTCGACACCGAGTCATATTCAAATCAAACATCTCGAAAGACTTAATGTGAGGGTGATGGAGCGGCTCACACAGGAACTGAAGCTGCGTTTTGTGTTCAAAACCCAGCCCCAGCTCTGTGCATGTAAATTCCGTTCATGGTTTCTTCCCACATTCCTGTTTGAGGCATATGGCCTTGCAGAGGTCTGTTACGCTCCTCAGGATGTTTCCAACCTTATGATTCCCAGGAATAGCTCTGGATCATCATGACCTTTTACTGGTCAAGTGGATATTAACATTGGCCAGATGGGTTTGGCATTGACACGGATCTTGGTTCACCTTTCATAAAAGACCTAATACTTGTGAATATTTAGTCTTGGAGCAGTGGACTGTCTGTAGGTGCCTGAGGACCACTTTGACAAACACTGTTCTAGAGTGATCAGTCCAGTTCGGTTACCTTGAGCAGATCTCTGGTCATGTCTGAAGGGTCAGTGAGACGAAGGGTTATCCTCGTTCCCAACTCTTCGGTTGCCCCACCTGATTTTACCTGCAAGAGCCACATCACGATAGTCAGTGGTAGCAATCGTCTTTTCACACGGAGAGGATGAAGCATAATCGGCAGGGATTCATACCAATCAGGTGATTCACACAGTCCTGAGAACAAACTCACCTCATTGGTACGATGCCCACAGCTGTCACAGTTCGTCGCCATGATAATAACCTCTTTGAAATGTGGGATTTCTGAGGAACCGTAAAGGAGCCAATGTCTAGGAAGGACTCGAGACACTTCTGACTTATTTTGCTACAGATGCATGCTGTAGGACCTTTTCCTTTCCCTCAAAAGGATACGCACAAGCTTCATGTTTGTTGATGCTGGGGCATTGCATTCTGGACAATTGGTGTTAAACACCAATACCTACCAATGGAAAGACATTTACTTACATTTGCAATGTTAAAAGGGATTAATGTTCAAATACACATAAATAAAACTACTTGCCTCATTCCTCATGCTCACTATGTCATTGCCTGGTTTCTCTTCATCCTTCTCATCACTCTAAAGAGCATGACAAAGTATTTAAAAGTGTATTAAAGAATTTGTTGCCGTGGCAACAAATCATGGAGGCGCATCCCTCTGAAGAGATATGAAATCCAGCCAATCTCCATGTGACACCTTCTTGGCATTTAAACAGCATGGACACCAGTGAAAACCCACACGTGCATCTGACAGCTCACGTTAAACATTCAGAGGGAAACCTGCCGTGACAGCACGTCTCACCTTCACGCCCAACTGAGCGTCCTGCTGCGGCGTCCGCTTGTAGTGGGCGACGGTGAGCGCGTCATCTTTCTGAGGGGCGAACGGGTTCTCCACAAAACTGTTACCAGATGGGTCATCGATCACCTGAACACAAGTGCATTAGTAAATGCGAAACCCCCAAACAGTAAGCGACAAGGTCTGGGCAGCTTTTACTTATTACTCAAACATTTGTAAAACACATGTACGTTTAAAAATTCCTCAGGTTTTACTCGCCTACATTTTTTGCATCATTTATGCTTTCAGATGCTGCCAGCCACCCACTTTGCTGCTGACTGATTCCACTCCTTTAACCACAAGGTCTCGTGGGTTTTCAGATTCGCTCTGACAAGACCCAAAGCCAGCCTCCACTCTGCTATAGAACTATTTTATTTTCCAAGCTGAAAAATTTGGTTTTAGCTCTGCAACTACAATGCTAGGAAAATACGGGATATGTAAACAGTTCCCAAAATACAGCACTGGGCATATGCCTTCTAAATGTCACAAAACTAAAAGGTATTAAAGTATTCAGTGTTAATCACGGGCTATTTATTTCACCATTACAGAACCACTGAGATAACAGCTACCTAAATGTGTCAGCAAAAACCACACTTACTCACCAAAGTGAATTCACTCTTGACATCTTTCAACTTCTGCAACCTTTCCATAAATTCATCAATTTTTGCTGCAACTTCTGGAGCTGTTGCCTGAGGAAGTAAATTAACGTAAGTACAAAATGTTATTAGTATGGAAATCACTTGATTACACCTTGCAAAATTCGTACCTTCCTCGTTGGCTGGTCCTGCTCCAAACCTGCCACAGTCCGGCCAATCAGGCCTTCAATTGTAGAAAGAGCTGAGCCAGGGAAGAAAAGATAATTTATATAAATAATTTAAACTTGTTCTGGTGATGAACTCCCCATGAACTGAGAACACTTGCTACACATCAAAGTTTTTAAATATCCGCTTGTAGGCTAAATATTTTACATGGGGAGTAAAAGTTAGGCAAGTAGTAAACGCACGTAACAAGTAGTAATCGGATGAAATTACGAGTGATGTGTTAAAATATACTTACAGCCCTTTTGCGTAAAAGCTGGGATTTCAAAATCCAGCTCTGGAATCCTAACTGTCGCACTGTCTGCCTTCACAACCTCACGATTCATATCCTGCAAAAGACGTGCAGCGTGTGGCATGCTTTAGCTCATCATACTCCTTAAGATTTGACCACGTAATAATGTTTCAATAGTATCACAGGTAAGTCAGTTAGAAAAAGGCAGGAGTATTCTAGAACACGTTTAAAGGATCTAGATGTGTGGAATATTTTCTCCTCACTTAAAAGCATTTCTGAATGGAATACCATTACATGCAAGCTACATACACCTCTTAAAACTGTGCCAAGCAGCAATGGCAGTTTCACTGAAAAATTTTTTAAATGCTAAGATTTCTTTAGATTAGCGTTGTTAAAGATTAATCAACAATTATTCATTATTAAGAATGTAGTTGATCGAGTTCAAAACTAATAAACTGCAAGCCTCATGCATTTTCGTGACAGCAAGTGGGCTGCCTCTTCATAGCATCTAAAGCTGATTTTTATTTGTTCATAAGCCCTATGCAGAGTCTACGCTCTAGCCTTCTTAAGCGGCATTCGCCTTAGCAATGACAACACGCAAATCTCTCAGCAATAAAGAAGCAGGCAAAGGAGTGATGTGGCGCCATTTCACACGAAAAAATGAAAACATGCACGGTATCCACTGTGACACTGTGCTGAGGTTTAATACAACGACAAGTCCTCATGTACAATTTAAAAAGCCAACGCCCACCCTTCCTCACAGGCAAAAGTACCAGGAGATTCTAACCAACCACTGCAGACGTCAGGACAGTACGTGGGTGTCTTCAAGAGCTGGACATTACAGTAAACAGAGTGCGTACATGTCTTACGCCAGAACATGCAGATATGTTGATCTTCTAAATTCAAAATTAAGTTGGCTGACCATCTTTGGAGGGGCTTTAGAAAGTTACAGTTCAGACAATTTACCTGCCATTATGGTTTGGTTTTATATCAACATAGGCATATGGCATAAATAGCCTACTAAGGTCACCATCATAAGCAAGATATCACATAAGCCGATTACAAAATTACACCTGTATCTGGGCAAACGCAATCATTGTTACTATGTTTAAAAGTTTGGTGTTTCCTGTGGATCAGGAAGTTTGGCGTGGGGGGTACTATTGAGAAAAAGCAAACATCCGACCATTGAAGTATTTATGTTTTGATTTGTGATGGCATGGTTCCCTCTCCGTCTATGGAGGTAAACAAGCACTTAATTACATGAAATAATATAGGAAAAAAAATTTCAGTGATAGTTATAACTATTTTTTTGCAGTTGCTAAATTAAGTCCTCAAGTTTGCCCTTCTCCACTCGAACTGTGCACGTGACTCGGCCAAACTGCACCACACGCAGCCTAACTGTGCACGTGACTTTGTTGTGGAAAGTGAGTCTCTCTCAGTGTGCGACTCCCTTTCACACAAGAAACCTGTTGATGTATTCGGTAAAAATAACATGGTATCGATAATTTTTTTCCCCCACTCCAGTCTTCCATAACTGTGAAGTGACAGGTGTCATATAAAGGGGAAAAGAACACCCCCCCCCCCCACCACCCACTGCCCTTTTCCAGCACGGTAATCTGTTACAGTGTCACATTAACACTGTGTCAGAGTTAGGCTGATGTTATGATAGCTTTTCTCCCATTCCACACAGGACACCATGATGGTATAATTGCAATATTAGCGGGTCTTAATGGGGTATGAGGCAGAGAGGAGGGAGAGATGTCCCCCCCCCCCCCCAACCAACCAAATGCCTGTTCTGTTTACCTGCATGGTCTGTTATTCCTTTCCTTGGAAATACCTAAGCAAGCTAATTTCATTTCAGCTATTTCAGAGCATCTGCTAAATGATAACGTAATACAGACTATTAGTGCAGTTAACCAAGTTCCATAGTGTGTGCAAAGGGGATGTAGGTAGCTTCAAGCTTCCTAGGTGAGTCACCAAGGAGCTGGAACCGATGACTGGTTGGATAGGTGTTTTTTTGGCGTGGCGGCAAAGACTGTGGCATGGCGGACTGCCATAGACATACATTACTGGCGGAAACACTGAAGTTGAATGGAAAAGGTATATATTCAACAGAGTCCTTTATTGAGGAATGTACTACTTGAAGAAAATCATTTTAAATTTGCAACCCTACCTTAGATACACAAAGTAAAAACCAGTCTTTTCAATACATGCCACATGTAATCTGACAACACTACAAAAAAGGCAGGGTTAAAACAAAATTATTTTAGCAATTACATGCATCACACAAGGAGCTCAGGCTTACCTGTTTGGATCTGACTTTAAGCGTGTATGTGATCCCCTGGTCTTGAATGCGGCCCGCTGACTGTATTTCAGTATTGGACCAGCAGCAGTGGGGGCACGTGAAAGAGCTAATGATAATCTCCTTGAAAAATGGAATCTTTGTCAACAGCATGCGCGTGCTTCCCTAAGAAGGAAAGAGTAAAATGACGATTCTAGGATATAAACTCTATATCACAATAATTAAATTCCTATCTAAATCAACAAATCACAGGAGGAGGAGTGATGCACTGTAATACAGGTACAAGTTGTACCAGCAAAGTTTCCAATCTGGCCTACAAGATTATTTTAGAATATGGACTCGTTGATTTGAAAAATCCTTAAAAGTAAAACAAAAAAAAACCCCTACTATTTCTAGTTGTCCACTGGAGGGAAGCACTGCATTACAAAAGGAACAGAACCTGTGATGCTGTCTCACACACCCTCCTGAAAGACAATTTGCAAAGGCAACGGAGATCTGATCAGAAGTGGAGATTTCAGTTCCAGAGAGTATAAATCCAGACCAAGATTTTGTTTCAACCAACCAGTTGAGTACTCTGTGACTCTTTATACTCAATTGGTTGGTTGAAACAAAATCTTGGTGTGGATTTGTACTCTCTTGACCTGAAATCTCTACCTCTGAATTGCTGAAGCACCTGAAGAATCAGCTGTGCATTTTAATTCAGCCAGGAGACCAGTAACACAGCTGTGAAACAGCAAGTGCTAATGAAACAGCAAAATCTTCTGATAGTCAGTTTAAGACATCCACTACTTTCACATTACATTTGCATTACTATTTTCCCACAACGAAAGTAAAAATTGATAACACCTATGCGGAAATACTTTTTGGTTTACCTTCACTCTCATAGTTCGCAGGTATTGTCATTCTTTCATAATACTGGGAAATATATATACATATATTTAAGTCTTGTTGTTTTACTGATAGTCCAATGCTTCCTGATGGCTGTCATCAACAAAAATGTCCCTTGTCTTATTGTCTACATAAATCTCTGTCAGACATAGACAGACAGATGGAGGGAAGATTATACCTCAGGGAAACATTAACGAGAAATAAACTCCTTCCTCAGAAGAATGCTTTCTGATTTAATCTCTGACCTTACTAGTAGACAATGTAACAGTTGCTGTCCTAATCCTACATAAAAATGTGAAAGGTGTTGTTAATATTTTATTAACCTACTACACACGATTTCTTTGGTTCATCTCACTTGAACTGGGTGCAATATAAGCTATAAAACAATAAGGTTGACACCTCTGCCTGTACAAATTTCTCTCAGTCAAAACAAACAGAATAAACACGTTAATTTTAAAAGCCTGTTACGCCACAAACCTTCATATATGGTTAATACCAAGAAGGACTTGGTATATAATAAATACCATCACTAGTTTATTACTATCATTAAATATTTATTTCTATGATACTACGATAGTATGTTTTCAAGATATTCTATTTGTTTACTGTGTACTTTTTAAAATGTGTTCGCACTACGTGCACACTGTCTTTGCAATGTATGCTAGTCTGTGCATTTCGTGCTTGCTGCTGTCTGCACCATAATTTCTCCCTGGGATCAGTAATGTTAATCGTAATCATAATATAAGACTACATTCACCATTATGCTAACTAAATACTTTTCGCTGTGCATTTAATAACTTTCAGATATTATTTAGAACATCATTCAACCTAGACGTGTTAACGCGATTACAAAGTGAATCGGGCATTAATTGACATCCAAGTGCATGGTGAACAGATGACACCTTAATCGGCAATTAAATATCACGGTTTGTTTATGATTAGCAGACAGCGGGATTACCACAGGTGGTTAAAAATATTACAATAACGTTACCCGCTAATTACGTCTAAAATTGTATTCATTCGTGAAACGAGGGAGTGACTTACATTTTGATAACAGTTCATGCACAAACTCTCGATTTCTGTGGGCTGCAACTCTTCGTCTTCACTACAAATCTCTCTGAAGACCCCCTTTCCACCACGCACAGCTTCCTCCTCTATGACGGACATAGTTAACTAGTTGCTTTATACAGTACAAGTCTTAAAAACAAACAAAATCCGATTTTAAATGCCTAATTTTGCCGCATATTTTGCAGGTCACGCCCGCTCATCAGCCTCTGGATATAGCATGATATTGCTAGAAACATCCACGATGTTGCCCTTTGAACTGGAAGCGCTCGCGGCCGCTTCTGCACGCGCTCTCACGTGTCTTTTGTAGGCAGTTCCGTAACTTCCGTTTTTTGAGAAATGGCCTCATTTTCCGGCAAAATAACGTCTATAAGGCGTCGTACGTTGTGAAAAAAATACTGTTCTCAAAAGCTGTTTCCCCATGTACTGCCTATGTAGGACCGCAGTATTTAACCATTACTTGAATTAGAGATGGATCGGTCTGGACTAGCCTCGAATTCCTGGAATACACGATAAACCCCACCATCACACCACGAATCAATAAGATAACTGGCCGATGCACCTGGGCAATTTAATACAGTGAATGTAGTTTTAATAATTTGGCTAAATGAGTGGGAACTATACTCACAGAATTGTTTTTCAAGCCCAGCTGCTTGTCAGTGTATCGATATGTTTCAAATGATTTGTTAATGCAGGTATTATGACCTGAAGTTAAAAGCAGGGTTTAAATATAGTCCAGCTCCAACTCTTACAACGTTAGACTTTTTTTTCTTAATGAACGGTTTTATAGAAGGTTTTAACGTCAATTTTCATTAGTAGCTCTGACCAAACATTCATTTGAAAAGTGGGTGAAATATTTCTACATGATGCATTGATTACGGTTGTGTGTTTGTGTATTTTGACTTATTTCGCTTAACGTATGCTGCCAAAACTTAATTTACCAGCTACTGTAGTTAGACTCTGTAGAAGTAAGACTTGTGTAAATGGTAAAAATCTGTACCTGACAGGGCTCCCTCTCCTCTCTGATTCTGATTTAACCCCAGTTAAACAGTATGGTCATTCTACAAACAAATGAACATGAAATGTATTAAGATATAGAATCTTTTTGTTGCAATGACAGTTTAAAGAAACCAATCCAACTAAATTGCACATCTTTGCACTGTGGGAGCAAACCTGAAGTAAACCAATGTGAACTGACGGAGTAAGCAAACATTGGATGAAGTTACTGGAAATGGAACCCAAAAATAGCTGAACTGTGTTTCTGTGGTCAGAGATACACATTTTTTGGTGATTTTTGTAGATGGTGGTGCAGGAGGTAGTGCTATTGTTCAGCAACCGGAGGGTTGCAGGTTCAAGCCCTGGTTCCTCCTGACCCCATAAAAGTGTCCTTGAGCAAGACACTGAGCCCAAAATTACTCCCGGTGTGTAGGTTGGTGCCTTGCATGGCAGCCTCCACCACCGAAGTATGGATGGGTAAATGTGAGGGATGAGTCGTAAAGCGCTTTGAGTACTCATAGGAGTAGAAAAGCACTATATAAATGCAGTCCAGTTAACATTTTTGATTACTCAACTCAATGTATCCTTTTTTGTACTAAGAGTCAGTATGCTGTGTTCTAGCGAAAGGCCCCTTGTATCCTAAATAAAATTTGATCACCAATGACTGAGACAATATTTGAATTTTGTCTATATGATACATGATGGCTTTAAGTGCATAATGAAAATTGTAATCAATACAAAAAGCCAAATACGGGCTGGGTTTGTAGTCAAATATCAAAGCCACTTAAAGCCTCTAAGCAATTGACATATGTTCAGCTAGTGCCTCATTTTTTAGGGATGGCTGCTGTATGGTCTTGCTTACTTCAAATACTGCTGCATGACTAAATTCGCTTTCCTTCCTTATATCAATAGTATGGGGGCTTTGATAAATGGAACATTTGGAAAGTTTTGTATGCACTCCACTCAAATACACTTCATACATGAATAAGCAACAAACCTCAAAAAGCAAGATTAGGTTTGAAATATTTATTCACCAGGACACAGTCAGCTTCAGCAGTGCCACAGGGCACATGTTCAAGTATTTCAGAACAGCAACTTTGTTTTGCTTAAATAATTTAACTAATGCCCAGTCTTTGCTAACTGACTGGGTTCCTGGGGTTCACTTGATTGCTTTTACAATTTAATCAACTTCCTCAATGGTTGGTCCTGAGGATCCACCACCGGAGGGGGCACCGCCAGCCCCCGGGAAGCCCCCAGGCATGCCACCCGGCATCCCTCCAGGCATGCCTCCAGCACTCTGGTACAGCTTGGTGATGATGGGATTGCACACCTTCTCCAGCTCCTGCTGCTGATGCTCATACTCCTCCTTTTCTGCAGTCTGTAAAAAAAAAAAAAAAAAAAGATTCAACTTCAGACAACCAGAGACTTTAAGGACAAGATGTCAATCACAGCCAGAACTTCATGTCACCTGGTTCTTATCCAGCCAAGTGATGACCTCGTTGCATTTTGTCAGGATCTTCTGCTTGTCCTCATCACTGATCTTCCCCTGCAATTTCTCATCTTCCACAGTGGATTTCATGTTGAAAGCGTAAGACTCCAGAGAATTTTTAGAAGAAACCTTGTCACGCTGGACATCATCCTCTGCCTTGTATTTCTCAGCTTCCTGGACCATGCGCTCAATCTCTTCCTTACTAAGACGACCTGTTAAAGGAGCATGGATTAAGCATATATACAGGCAACTTGCACCGTATATTCTATACAGAAGAAAAGTCTTGCTCTGTACCCTTATCATTAGTGATGGTGATCTTGTTCTCCTTTCCTGTGCTCTTGTCAACAGCAGACACATTCAGGATACCATTAGCATCAATGTCAAAGGTGACTTCAATCTGGGGAACACCACGTGGTGCAGGAGGGATTCCAGTCAGCTCAAACTTGCCCAGCAAGTTGTTGTCCTTGGTCATGGCTCGCTCACCTTCATAGACCTGTGGAGAATGAGCCAGTTTAGTTGTCAGCCAGTGCATTACTGCTTCCAGTAGAAATGGATTCACGTATAATATTGCAAGCACTCGCTCAGACATCCAAGGAAGATTTTGTGCCATCTTTGGTTATTCAACCTCTGGTGGAAACTACGAATGACTTTAGGAATCTGCTTCATCACAGCGAGAAAAGGGAAAATCCAGAGACCCCAAAGACCCCCTGCACGACTTACCTGGATAAGCACTCCAGGCTGGTTGTCAGAGTACGTAGTAAATGTCTGAGTTTGCTTGGTTGGAATGGTGGTGTTACGCTTGATCAGAACAGTCATGACACCACCCGCAGTCTCAATTCCCAGGGACAGAGGGGTGACATCTAGTAGCAGCAGATCCTGAACATTCTCAGACTTGTCACCAGACAGGATAGCAGCCTGGACAGCTGTGGAGACAGGGAATGGGATTCAGACATTTGCCAGAAGAGCAAAATCCAAAACAAGCAAAAAGCATTCGCTCAGACATCCAAGGAAGATTTTGTGCCATCTTTGGTTATTCAACCTCTGGTGGAAACTACGAATGACTTTAGGAATCTGCTTCATCACGGCGATTTCTTTAAATGCAAATTCAGATACTGAAAGGTCATTACCTGCACCATAGGCAACTGCCTCATCGGGGTTGATGCTCTTGTTCAGTTCTTTTCCATTGAAGTAGTCTTGTAGCAGCTTCTGGATCTTCGGGATACGAGTAGAACCTCCAACCAGGACAATGTCGTGGATCTGGGCCTTGTCCATCTTGGCATCACGAAGGGACTTCTCCACTGGGTCCAGGGTGCCACGGAACAGGTCGGCATTCAGCTCTTCAAAGCGAGCTCTGGTAATGGAGGTGTAGAAATCGATGCCCTCGTACAGGGAGTCGATCTCAATACTGGCCTGAGTGCTGGAGGAGAGGGTGCGCTTTGCCCTTTCACAGGCAGTGCGGAGACGGCGAACAGCTCTCTTGTTGTCACTGATGTCTTTCTTGTACTTGCGCTTGAACTCGGCAATAAAGTGGTTCACCATGCGGTTGTCAAAGTCTTCACCACCCAAGTGGGTGTCTCCGGCAGTGGACTTCACTTCAAAGATTCCATCCTCGATAGTCAAGATGGATACATCGAAAGTGCCACCCCCAAGATCGAAGATCAGCACATTTCTTTCAGCACCAACCTGCAACAAGATGAGTGAAGCTTAGTGTTGAATGCTTTGTCCCCCCTCTACACATTACTCTTAAAAGTGCTCGCTCAGACATCCAAGGAAGATTTTGTGCCATCTTTGGTTCTTCAACCTCTGGTGGAAACTACGAATGACTCAGGAATCTGCTTCATCACAGCGAGCTGTACGACTCAGGTCAAGAAGACCATCAACTCACCTTCTTGTCCAAGCCGTACGCAATGGCGGCAGCAGTAGGTTCATTGATGATACGCAGTACATTGAGACCAGAAATTGTACCAGCGTCCTTCGTGGCCTGACGCTGGGAATCATTGAAGTAGGCGGGCACTGTTATGACAGCGTTTGACACAGACTGAAATGGAGAGAAGACAAGTCATTAATACACAGAAATCAGGGTAGCTTGGGTCAGAAGATATGTTTAACAATGAATCAGACTGACCTTTCCTAGATATGCTTCAGCAATTTCCTTCATTTTAACCAAAACCATGGAAGAGATCTCCTCAGGATAGAAGCTCTTTGTCTCCCCCTTGTACTCCACTTCCACTTTTGGGCGACCACTGTCACTGATGACATTAAAGGGCCAGTGCTTCATGTCAGCCTGTACAATGGGATCATCAAACCGTCTGCCAATCAAACGCTTGGCATCTGTCAAAAAAAAAAAAAAGGTTACAATTCAGTGACCATGGCATAAATACATAACATTTATATTCTAATATTTGCATACAGATAATTCCAAGGACATGACCATACCAAAAACTGTGTTGGTTGGGTTCATTGCAACCTGATTCTTCGCAGCATCACCAATCAACCTTTCAGTGTCGGTGAATGCAACATAGCTAGGCGTGGTCCTGTTGCCCTGGTCATTGGCAATGATTTCCACCTTGCCATGCTGAAATACACCTACACAAGAGTAGGTTGTTCCCAGATCAATGCCGACTGCTGTTCCCTTTGACATTTTTCCTGTATGGAAGAGAAATGAAAATATCTGTAGGGCATGCAATCAATGGCTCACAAATAAGCATTTCTAAAACGGTTACTTTTCTGATAGAGCACGACTTGGCCAAAACCAGGTTGGCCTAAACCAAAGAAAGAAATAGTAAAAGATCGATTTACAGTTACCCCATCTCCAATATTTAAATACAAACATAAATTATGAATGTGGAAAAGCAGCAGCATCGACTGGAAACCAGAGAAGCCACTGCAGTCCCACGAGACCATTGCGAGACTCACCACGTTGCCACGTGGTTCACACTGCGACTATAAGAACGTTCCAAGGACACTTCGTACCATGGAGTGATTCTACTAGATTTTATATAATCCAGAAAATTTATATTCGTGTGTATATACATACATATTAGCATATATATATCGACATATACCGCAAAGTCATGTTCGCTATTAAAATACGGAAAATGCTGAAAATACAACGTTTCAATCCACAGTAGGAATATTCATATCCGGAAGTATATATTTTTTATAAACATTATTTTCAGGATTGGCGAAGACACATAGGTGATTTAAGACATTGTACGCGGTTGCCGGCTGCGGCAATGCACGTGCCTTCACCCATCCCCCAACAGTATGTTCCGAAGGACAAAAGCTACTGCAGCATCCAGTCTTAACAATAGGTGACCTTAGTCCAAAACCGGCAACTTAATAATTACACTTGACATACGTTATACACATGTATTATATGACAAGGAAGACAAGCACATTAATTCCCCCCATACAGCTTCAATTAAAAAAAATGAAAAGCGGATGTAGGTAGACCCCCTCCCCCCACTAAAATGAAACATACTCAGGCCACACGATATTCTAGAGCTGTGTAAATAGTGCTCCTAAAATACATCGGGTTAAGAAAAAAACAAACATCAAGCTTTTTCGTTTATAGAGAGGTATTTCCAGTACAATACATTTTATCATTTAATATGTTAATATATTTGGCCGGTGAGAAAAACTTTAAAAAGCTTCACGTTGTCTAACAATTACTTATGTCATTAAAGATAAAAAGAAAATAAAACAAAAAAAAAACGGAAAAAGTACTTACCGGCTTCTGCTGCTATGTTTTACGAAAGAGAAAACTGTTCGCTGTCCCCGCTCCGCCGTCTGAGAACGAAAAGCGAAAATTTTAAGTTAATGTAGTGCTCTTCGGACTGCCGTAAGACCTCCTCAGCCAATCGACGTTCACGCAGCCCAGAGAAGCGGCAGTCGCTGACCAGTTAAACACGATCTCCTGTCAGCTACGTCATGGAATACCTTTCGGTTCACCGCGTCGCAAAATGATTGGCCGAGATGTGTCAAAACGTAATTGGCAGTGTTGTTTAAATTAACCGGAAATGCGACAGGTTGAGACGAGTCGGTAACGTTCTAGGACCTTCTACAGCTAAACGACTCGTATGTAAGCTGACGCTGAAGTGTTACAGTTTAAGGAAACCTACAGAGACAGCACGTTTTTAATTATAAAAGATTAGTGCAGTTTTGCCCTTTCATTTTAAACTCATTTGACACTTCTATCCATTATCCAACCCGCTTATCCTACTGGGTCGCGGGGGTCCGGAGCCTATCCCGGAAGCAATGGGCACGAGGCAGGGAACAACCCTGGATAGGGGGCCAGCTCATCGCAGGGCGCGCGCACGCACACGCACACGCACACCCCTATGGGCAATTTAGTAACGCCAATTAGCCTCAGCATGTTTTTGGACCGTGGGGGGAAACCGGAGTACCCAGAGGAAACCCCACGACGACACGGGAAGAACATGCAAACTCCACACACGTAACCCAGGCGGAGAGTCGAACCCAGGTCCCAGAGGTCTGAGGCAACAGTGCTAATCACTGCACCACCATGTCGCCCCCCATTTGACACTTGTAGAATCATAAAATATGTATAATATGCTTATATATATTATAGTATATATATTATAGTATGCATTATCCCTTGCCCTGGGCCAAAAAATATGAAACGGTACCCAATAGGTTAGAACGATACAATTTGATCTCCAACTTTTTTGTGTAGCCAAAAAACTTGACTTTAGTCTCTGGTTAACGCATTACAATATGACAAATATTAATGTCTCATTTAATTTATTTCAAACGTGGACTCCAAATTTATTGTTTCAAATTTATTACATCATTACCGTTTAAAAATTAACGAATGTTTTATTTAGCCTTTAAATGTCACTAAGGCAACTTTTTTAATGACTTGGTTTATTGTGTTGTAGTGAAGCATCAGTATTGCATTACATATGAATACTAATGCGGCGCAGCCTCATCACCTTTTTATAGCCTTCTAAGAAACAAGCACGTGGCGCCTGGTCTATCAAGTTTGCTGTTTCAGTTCGTGAAGAAAATGAAGAAATTCAAGAATTATATGTGAACACAGGAGTACTCGGTTACTTTGCAACGAAATATTTTACGTATGTCCCGCATATACGCTATGACTGTTAAGTTTGTTCATAAAGTAGAATGTACTACAAGAGTTTTGCTTAAATTAAAAGGACTTATCGCAACGAAATTGTTATAGAACCAATGGGTAAATAAATTAAATAGCATAGATTAAGTAGTTTATTAATAGTCCGCTGGTACTAGGCTATTTTTCATACATGTGAAAAATCCAAATTACATTTACATGCTTCGGAACTTGCAGTGTCGTTGACGATAATACGCACGTTTGCTGGAATACGGTACAAACAAGTCGTTAAAGATAGGGGACCTTTTGCTATTCACGTGAGACAAGAAAACTCAGCTGTTTGACTTGTTTCTTTATTGGTTTGTTTATTTAAAAAGATAAGAAAGTAACTAATGTTATAAGGGGTGGCACCTTTGGGACCAGGGTTGAAGTCCGTGTTCACTTGTGTTCCCTGTATCTTTGTGGGGTTTCCTCTGGGTACTCTAGTTTCCCCCAGCAGTCCAAAAACATGCTCTATTGAATTTGAGTTACCAAATTGCCTGTAGGTGTGAATGTTGTGTGAGTGAGCCCTGCGATGGGTTGGTGCCCCATTCTGGGTTACTCCCTGCCTTGCACCCTAGCCACCGGGATAGACTCCTAATCCCCTGTGACTCTGAATAGGACAAGCAATTATAGAAAATTGATGGATGGAACTAATGTATAATGGATATTAAGTCATGGAAGATGTTGATCTTTAGAAAAAGATGTTAATTTGTAGAATTTCATACTAAGGTCAATACTGTATTGAATTTAAATATTACATATAAATCTAAAGGACAATCAACAATGTATTTGTGTATGCATTGACATTTGTATATTCAAAACTATATCTATATTCAAAACTTTTTGATGGTTATTATACTATGACTATTCTTTAACTGCTTGATACTACACATGGACCTAGAGGTACAGTATGTGTTGTATGCATGCTGATAGTGTATGGCTTCTGTACAGGTGTCACTACTGGTAGTTTGTGGAAGTTTAACAGGCATGGTCATCAAAGCAGAGCAATCATAAGCTTTACATAGTGTCCTCAAGAACAGTTGTATTTGTGCGCATGGATGTGATTTCCTAGTGTGCACAACTGGTGGGGGACAAGCTGTGAATTTTGGGTAATTCCTGAATGAGATCTGTGAAATGCAATCTAGTCTTCATATGCGATAAACAAACAGGTTTCACACCCAGAAGAAAGAAATCAAATGAGTGAATTGCATGAAGGAAGTTTACAGTTATATGTTTAAATTCTACATTAAAGTTATTTATGTGTAATTGCACTGTTCCTTAAAAAAATAAAAATTGCTGAGTACTGAAGCCCAATAATGTGTCATATTTTTTTTCCCCCCAAAAAATGAGCTGTCATGTCTTTTGAAGGCTATTTTAATTATAAGTGGCAAAGGACATTTTGAAGTGTCAATCATTTGGAACTGGAAAGGTTTATAAATGTATTATAACAGAAAGAAGTCTAGGTGAAGGTGTATAGTTGGACAGGATTAGGAACAAATTGCAACTCCAGGCTCCTGAAAAGGCTTGAAGAATTTCTTACCTGGACCCGTATGAAGTCCCGCAGCCCCTCTATTCGCAAGGGGGTTAGGAATGACAACATCACTTCTCTGGTCGATGGTGAGAAGATCCCACTCCTGGCTGAACATCCTGTCAGAACCCTTGGAAGGCTCTATACAGCTGACCTATCTGACAAGCAGATGGCTGCCACAGTGACATCCCAGCTCGTGGATGGCCTGAACAAGATCGACCAGAGCTGTCTGCCAACAACATGGAAACAGGGAAATTCAAGGTCCGGTGTTACCAACACACCCTCTACCAGCGGGTGATGTGGCCTTTAAAGCTGAGTGACATCACAGCTTCAACAGCACTGCAGATGGAAGCAAAAGCCAACCACTTCATACGCAAATGGCTTGGCCTTCCTCGGTGCCTTTCCAACGTGGCACTGCTTGGCATAAACACACTCACACTACCACTGAAATCCAACAGCCTGGGCTACAAACAAAAGAAGGTGAGACTTGTGTCCCAACTGAGAGACTCACCAGATCCGATTGTCTGAACCACCTAAACCCAGGTCTGAACAGAACATCGGTGGGATGCAGTGCAAGTGGTGGAACAAGCCATCAGCTGCTTGAAGCACCATGAAGTTGTGTGGGGGTGTCGCAACAAGGCAGGATCGGTCTCGACTGGGGGCAAGTGCCCAGGATGTGGTACAAGGCCAATGTGAAGGAGAGGAAGGACCTGGTGATCTCCGAGGTGGTAAGGATGGAAGAGGAGTTGTATAAGATCAAAACAGTCGTGGACAACCTGGGAGGCAGTGGTAAACAGGACAATCACCTGGACTGACATGTGGAGGAGACCTCAATCCCGACTCAGCTTTTTGATCAGGGCAACATATGATATCCTTCCAAGCCCCCAGAACATTAACATCTGGTATGGCACAGAGGAGAACTGCCGACTCTGCTGCTCCCAGAACCCAAGCTTGCAGCACATCCTCTCCGGTTGTAAGGCACCATTAACACAGGTGGAATCACGACCTGGTCCTGCGTAAGCTGGCTGAAATTCTGGAGGCACAGAGGCTTGAAGCGAACAGGACCGGTCCGGTACCATCTCAGAGATTGATTCACTTTGTTAGACAAGGAGACCAGGACCTGTCCTACACTCATAAGGCGTGGTCTCTCTTGACACCTGGAGTTGAGTGGAACTTAACGACTGACCTGATCCAGCTGCTCAGGTTCCCTCAGAAGATCACCCCAACCTCTCTACGACCTGATATAGTGCCTTCGAGAGGAAGAAGGACAAGTATGCAGAGCTGGCAGCTGCATGCTCACAGGCCAGGTGGAGGGCATTCACATTCCCACTGGAGGTTGATTGCAGAGGCTATGCAGGAACATCAGCTCAGCGTCTCTTCAAGTCCCTGGGCATCAGAGGTACCAATCTGAAGAGAGCCATCAGAGGTATTGCTGAGGAGGCAGAGCAGGGGAGCTTCTGGCTCTGGCTCCGCAGGAAGGACAAGCAATGGGGGGAGCAGGGATCTTAGGGCCAGATGCAGGGGGCAGTAGGGAGACGTCCCTATTGCTGCTCCACCACCCAGAGGTGTTCCGGGATTAAAGGAGCAAAACATCGGTGAAGGGTGGTCCCCAGCTGACGACCTTGCAGCTGGCAGCAGGGCACTGTCGGAGGTGCGCCTGGCAGAGATGCCAAGCAGGTGCTTTCATGTACCTGTGCTGTATATTGTATTGTATTGGACTTCAGGAATAATAAAAGCAAAATGGGCTGGCAGTACGAGGAAGTTCGGTGTGTAATTCATTTGGTGCCTGGAGTTTGATGCGTGTGTTGAGTGGGCAATGGCCAATTGATTCAGAATCAATCTGAAGTGGAAGAGGTCATTGCAGAAGTAAAGTAATATATTCGTCTAATCATGGGCTTGTCTTGTCTGATTACTGGTCAAAGTATCTATAGTCAGTATAGATCTTCAGGGTCATAGACTAGATTTTGATCTTGTTGGCCGTAGTGCAAAGAAAAAGTAATAAGATAAAGTAATAAGTAGAATATAAATGCATAATGTATATAAGACATTTGATTGTGACGTACTAAGACATGGAAGCAAGACAACAAAAATGGTTAAAAATACAGTTGTGGAAAGGGGCAGTGTAATTGAACGATACTATATTTAGCATTTATGTCGATTGTAGAAACAAAGATAAGAATCTGTTTTGTCACTGCCCATACAACAAAAGATCATTTAGCAGCACTC